GGCACTGTCCCTGCTGTATATTTTTACAATGGCTAAGTGCCTTTCATTTTGATAACAGTGACCAAGATGAAACACTCCATAAATATGTCCAAACTGGCAGACTTTTGATAATAAAAACGAATGCTATTTGTGCATTCTTTTCGATTCCAATTCTGTTTTTATAATAATATCCAAGCCTGCTAACTTTTGGTATAAATGTATGCCTTACATTCGTTCTTTTCAACTTCATTTCCATTTTGATAATGTTCACGGCTGTCTTTCGGATGAGCATAAATATAAATGCCACTTCAGTATTTGCGTGCATAGTTTAAATACATCAGAAAATAATAAGAATTATTACCAGTTTTACATGGCTCCCAAAATTCACGCAATTGCTGGTGTGCTCATTAAAAAAATATATATATTATTAATTAAATTAAAATACGTGTACTTTAAAAAATTATGTATTTTAATTGGTTAATTATTACGGAAAATCACGGGTAGATCTACAAAATTAACCAATTAAATGAATGTCGTCCTATGAGCCTATACCCCGGGTACATTTTAAGGACGCCCAGTAATCTTTACTAATGCCGATCATTGCATTTCAGTCATGTGATAGGCGGTAATAGTGTAGTGCTTAGTTGAACTATTGTTACACTGCATTAAAAATTGCCCATCATGAAATACGCGTGTCTTTTTAAAATTACGCGACTCAAAAATATTTCTATTAAAATTTTTATTTCTCACTTGTTTAAGAAATACTATTATGCCGGTATCGCATCGTAAACGACGTGCAACTGCTAAAGATTTTAGTGGCGTTTTGGAAAAACTTCGCCGCTTACGAGAAACAGGTGGTTCTCGTGCACAGGAATATGAGGTACTGAGCGTTTGCGCCAACTATACCTATTAGAACTATACTTATAATAAAGTTTTAATATTAGATTCAAGAGCCTGAACCAATTTACATCGAAGTTAACGAAGATGAATATCAAGAACATCTTAGAGAAAGAGAGCAAGACAATTTCATTGAAGACGATGACGGAAAAGCAAATTTATTTGCTGAGGATGATCTGGGAAAAGCATATTCTGATGAATCTGACTATGATGATTCTCCAATGGATGGTTATTATTCCTTTCCATGTTCATAATCTAGGATAACTTTGTTCAAATTACTCTTATCTATTAAATTTATTATTAATTGCAGGAAAAAGGAAAAGAACTAAAGAATTGGAGGATGAAGCTAATGTAGCTCGACCGAACGCAAGGCTTAATAGCTTTTTTCAGAGGGCTGCTGCCACACAACTCTCAAAACCCAAGATAGTAAGAATTTAAATGTTAATATATATAATCTCATGTGAATATTAATATTAATTATTAATTTAACCGCATAAAGATTAAATCAACCGAGGAAGAAACTGCATTTTTATCAGACCTTTTAAAAGATTTAGATGATGATACTGAAGATCAGAATCTAAATGTCGATCAAATGAACGTAATAATGATGGATTTGAAGAGTGATAAATATCAAACAAATTTGAATTATACTGAAGATGCCGAGAATGATTACACTAATTATGCACATATTAATGATTCTACATCAACTTTGCTTGAAGTGAGCAATTCAGAAAATAATGCCTCCGCTAATGATCAGCATGTAGATAATGAATTTGACCATGATAATGGTTATAGGATGTTCTGCACTAATGCAGATGAAAAACAGGAGAATGTGCATCTTTTTGAAAAAGTTAGTTTTAGTATACGTTTACTATAATTCATAATAGTTTATTTATTTCATTTTACATTTTTTGTTAGACCTTTGACAAGAGTGATAATACCGAAGATCAGGATCTAGCTGTTGATCAAATGGACGTAATAATGCCGGATTTGGAAAATGACAATGATCAAAATAATTTGGACTGTGTCGAAAACACCGAGAACAATTACACTGATTATGCTCACCTTAATGATTCTACAGCAAACTTGCTTGAAGTGAGCAATTCGGAAAATAATGTCTCCGCTAATGATCAGCATGTAGATAAAGAATTTAACCATGTTAATGGTTGTAGGATGTTCTGGATTGATGCATATGAAAAACAGGGGACTGTGCATCTTTTTGGAAAAGTTAGTTTAATATACGTTTATTGTAATGAATGCATAATTGTTTATTTATTTCACTTTACATTTTTATTAGATCTTTGACAAAAATACCAATTTATACGTGAGCTGCTGCCTCACCGTTAAGAATATTGATCGAAACATTTTCGTTTTACCAAGGCAGTTTAAACTTGACGGTTAGATCTGTTTTGTATATAATTTGGTTTTACTTTGTGACCTTTCAGTTATTAAAATTATATCCGGCTTTAGATAATGGAAACGAAACTAATATTCCAGTCACTATGGATGATGTTTTTGAAGAGATCGAATCTCTGAGACATAAATACAAAATTTCTAGAATAGCTGCCAAATCTGTTTCGAGAAAATATGGGTTTGAGCTGCCGGACGTACCTGTTCAATCGGATTATTTAAAAGTGGTGTATTCATTCTCATGTAAGTTTATCACCTTTGGTCACCATTCAAGCGACTTTTATATAATCTTATCTATCATAATTTATTAGACCCATCATATCCAAGCGATTTGAGTGGAAAAACATTTAGTCGTATATTTGGAGCTCAATCTTCCGCAATAGAACTATTCTTGATTAAGCGAAAAATTAAAGGTCCCTGTTGGCTTGAAATAGAAGATGCCCAAGAACAAACTACTAAAGTACATTATTTTTTTTATTTTTAACAGTCTTTTTTACAAGATTTTACGATTTTATTTTAAATTTGCATAATATAATTTCATAATATTAGGTTTCCTGGTGTAAATATGAATTGTTTGTTAAAAATCCAAAAAATGTAAATCCTCTAAAAGAGACTATACCACTGAAATCTCCACCATTGACGATAATGACTTTGGACTTACGTACTGTCATGAATCATAAAAAGCATACAAACGAAATAGTTGCCTTTAGTGTACGAGTTCATCCTAAAGGTGAGTGATTTTGAGTTATCATGATTTTTTATAAGGTTATTAAATGTTTACTTTTGAAATAGTTTTTCTGGATGGACCAATTTGCGTAAAAGAACTTCAATCACTTCAACAAACATCGATTAGACAATTGAGTGATAAACCGTGGTGGCCCACACAATTTGAAGATATAGTGAGAGGAAACAAAAATAAGTTAAACTTGACTTTAGAAAAAAATGAATATTCTTTATTAAATCGCTTTTTAGGTTCGTATAATCTTGACGTATAAAGCTTTAACTTTTAATTGTCGCAATATTTATCATAAAATCATCGTTTGAAATGATAGCCATTATCAAGCAGAATGATCCGGATGTTCTGGTTGGACATAATATCATTGGGTTCGAACTACCTATCTTGTTGCAACGAATGGAAGCATTGAAAGTTAAAGACTGGTCTTGGATTGGAAGGCTCCATAGACAAATGTACTTCTCATATTTTGCTTTCTGATAATATTTAAGAATAAGTATAAATCTTACTAAACTGATAATATTTAAGATGGCCAAATTCTAGGGTTGGCACAAATAGTAAAGGCGACATACCATTTATTGAGAAAGATTCTGTGAGCGGCAGACTGATATGTGATACTTATCTTAATGCAAAGGTAAAAAATTTTAAGATCTGACAATCTTATTATTGTTACATTTGCTTTTTTTTTAATCAACATTATTTTACTATCCAGGATCTTGTTAAATCGAAGAATTATTCTTTAACTGAGTTGGCATCATCGCAATTAGGCATCAAACGAAAAGATTTTGATTTTGAAACAACTGTAACAAAATATGAACGAGCCGATATGTTGTTCGATTTTATTCTTCATTGTCGCTACGATACTGTTATCACGTCAGAATTGATGTTCACGCTGCAGATACTACCACTAACTAAACAACTCACGAATTTAGCCGGAAATATTTGGTATTGCTCCTTTCATTTTGGTTTAGATATACTTGTTGTACACTATTAAGTTTGAAATTATTTATCATCAAGGTCTAAAACTCTCACCGGTGCTAGAGCTGTACGCAATGAATATCTACTATTACATGAATTTCATCAAAATAAGTTCGTTTGTCCAGACAAGGTTTATAACAAATCAAACATAAAGAATGCAGAAAAATCTGTTGGATATGATGAAGAGGGATCACGGAAAAGGCCGAAGTATGCAGGGGGGCTTGTATTAGAACCAAAGAAAGGATTTTACGACAAATACGTGGTCATGTTGGATTTTAATAGTTTATATCCGTCAATTATTCAAGAGTATAATATTTGTTTCACTACAGTTGGACGAACTGGACACGTGAGTTTATTTAAAATCATATCAAATAATGTTAAGAAATACTAAAATTTATCTAAAAATTAATTTTAGGAAACGGACGATTTACTTCCTAACCTTCCTGAGCCTGACTTGCCTCAAGGAATCCTTCCTAAACTAATAGCAAATCTGGTTAGTAAAAGAAAGTTGGTTAAAAGTTTGATGAAAGATCCAAAAGCTTCACTTAGTGATCTTGCACAAGTGAGTTCATTATGAGTTACATTTAAATCATGATGCTTAATTCTGGAATTATTAATGATTACTTTTAATTTATGGATAATAGTATGATATTCGTCAAAAAGCTCTTAAACTTACAGCAAACAGTATGTATGGTTGTCTGGGCTTTCCACAATCTCGGTTTTATGCCAAAGCTTTGGCCATGTTAATCACTTCTAAGGGTCGAGAAATTCTCCAAGATACTGTTAATTTGACAGAAAATGAAGGCGTGGAGGTATAAAGTCTATTATTAATACTCAGATTTAATATTTTCTAATTCATTACATTAAATATTCACGTAGGTCATATATGGTGACACAGATTCAATAATGATCAATACCAACACCACGGAATTACATGAAGCTTCCGAAATAGGAAAGATGTTGAAAAAGAAAGTTAACCAACAATATAAACTTCTTGAGATCGAGATAGATGGGTTTTTTGAAAAGATGCTACTTCTGCGAAAGAAAAAGTATGCTGCCGTTGTTGTAGAAGAAAATAATGGCATTTTGACGCGACATTACGAGACAAAAGGTATCGATCTGGTCAGAAGAGATTGGTGTGAATTGGTTCGAGATGCTTCTAAGTACATGAATATAATAATTACTAACAAAATTTGGTATTTATTTATTGGTATTATTTTCAAACTAATGATTCTGCTTATATTTAGATATGTTTTGGATCAAATTTTATCTTCTTTTGATCGTACTGTGGTGGTGAATAATATTCACGAATATCTGACACAGTTAGGACATGAAGTTCGTTCTGGGAAATTCTCTATTAATAAGTTTGTCATAAATAAGGTAAAAAAATATACGTTTAGGCATGCTAAAATATATGATATTAAAAATTTCATGATTTAATTGCTATAGAACCTCACAAAAGCGCCGGAGGCATATGCAGATGTTAAAAGTCAGCCACATGTGCAAGTTGCATTACGGATGAAAAATAGAGGAATGAGCGCTCGCCAAGGAGATACCATTCCTTACGTGATATGCGTTAATGCAGATGAAAATACCATAGCAAGCAAAGGTCTTGCTGATAAAGCATTTCATCCTGATGAAATCCGGAAAGAAGACTCTAATTTGCAACCTGGTACGTTTAAACGCATATAATTATTTTAATGGGTTTTCAATTATTCATTTCGGTTCACATTTTTGCTAGATTTTGAATGGTACTTAAACCAACAAATTCATGCCTCCGTTGCTAGATTATGTGAACATATTGAAGGAACAGGCAGTGCAAAAATTGCCGAATGTTTAGGTAAGTTTGAATTTACTTAAATAGAAGTGTTTAGGTTAGTCTAGAAATTAAGATTTAGTCTTTACTTTAATTAAGGGCTCGATAAATCAAAGTTCATGTCAACACCGAGCAATAACACATATCATGCATATAGCTCTCAAATTAGTGATGATGAGCGCTTTAAAAATGTCGACAAATTGATGATAAAATGTATTCATTGTCAACAATCATATACATTTGAAGGGTTCAATTCTATAACGGTTGGTATTTCTCGTATTTAACGTTATTGTAAACGATAGCTGGATACTCATAAAGTTTTTAGGGTCACTTGTTGGATGAAACTGGATTTTACTGTGGCAATCCAAATTGCATGAAAGCACTACCAATTTCATCAATACTTGCGCAACTTACCTGCAGCATTCGGCATCAAATAAAAAAATTTTATGACGGCTGGAATATATGTGAAGATCCCACCTGTGGATATCGAACAAGAAACATAACGAGAAAAAGATGTATTCAAAGATGCCATGGAAAAATGGTGGCTGAGGTAAATAATCATGTCATTATTAATCAGAGATATCATCTCTCGATTCGGAAATTGAACCGATAACATTTAATAAAAATTATGAAATCATAACCTGTATTTTTTTTTTTTAGTTTTCTGAGTATAGATTATTTAATCAACTTACTTATTATGCAAGTTTATTTGATGTGGAGAAAATCGAAAATACGTCACAAACGCCGTTAAATATTGGTATGTTAAAAAAAAAACCCCCCCAAATATAAAACTTTTTAGTTAATGCTAAATTGTTATTGGTCTCATTTAGGCAATAATGTAATGTCACAAATAAAGCGGCTAAATTCACTTGCGGAGAGATATTTGAAAAAATCGGGATACGGAAATATAAAGTTGGGCTCATTGTTTCATTTTTACCTTTAACTGTTTAAAAAGTGAATCTATGTAAAGATGGTGAAGTTAGTTTGGGTTTGATTTAGGTTCTAAAACCTTTAGATTCCAAATTAAAAACCTAAGGACCAGGTTTTTGTATAACAAGTTCAAAATCTAAGTTTTAAACCTAATTTGGTTTAGAATCAATTTAAAATCGGTTTAATGTTTCTTGAGACGAAAAATAAAAATATATATTAATAAATGTTACTTAATTCATATTAGCTACACAACATTAACTATGCATTAAAAACTGGCCAATTAATTAGTATGAGGTGTTTTAAGTAAAAATGTTGTATGCTTTTGAAAATTTTAAAAAACTAATCTTAATATAAAAAATTTAAATTAAAAATTTTTTATAACAATATAAAAAATAATAATAAAAGATATAATTAAAATTTATAAAATTTTAGAAAATTTAAAAAATATAATAAAAGCATATAATAGATGCAAAATATTATGTTTTATAATTTTTTTTTTTTTTTTAAGCAGTTACAGTAGTATTTTATTAGAATTTTTAATATTATATATACTGATTATAGAGAATTTTTTTAATACTTAAGTTCAGTACCTAAGTGTGACCTGTTGCATTATCTTAAACAAAGGTAGACTGCTTGTCTGATTGCTATCTTACAATAGGATATTATTGATTTGATGACATTTTCTTGTAAGAAAGCAAAAAAACAAAAAAAATATTTTATATATATATAAAAAAAAACAGAGATATAGGGTAAATAATAAAAGATACAAAACAAGAAATAAAAAGAAGGAGATAAATAAAAAAAATTAAAAATGTGAAACTTGCAATTTACAAAAAAATCAAATAATTATAATTTTAAGTCTGTGTTAAGCATAAAACTTGCAATTTACAGATATTAAACAATTACAATTATAAGCTTATGCCAAGTTTATAAAAATTATAAACTATACTAAATAAAAATTACTCTACTATTTTTCTAATTATTTAGATTATTTAAACAAAAAACTAAAAAGAAAAAAAAAACATTTACTTTATCATAAAAGGTTAATATAGGATACTGATTAGTCTAAAGACAGTATTTGACAGATTTCCAGCAGTTTGAGATATATGTATAGTTATGTTTGTATTGCTGTATTATTTTCAATTTATGTTATCAACAATTTTGTCTAAGAAGTAAAGACTGCTGACTGTTTTTGTGATTTTATATATTGATCTTTAGAAAGAGTAAACTGAATTGTCCACTTTTATAAATTTTTTTTTGAAAAAAAATAAAAGTACTAGATGAACCAACTTTTTAGTTTTTGTAAATTCTTAATCCTTATGAGTGTTTCTTATAGGTTTTATAGTTATATAGAACTAATATATTTAACATTGTTGTTTACTTAATAAAAAATCTTGGCTTTTACTGATTACTTTTTCTATAGTTTCAGAGTGCTCTTTAAACCATCATTACAAGACTATAACTCTTTTTAAACTATATTTTAATATCCAACAATCTATATAAAGTACTCCAAAAAGGTTTTTATAAAGTTTAGTATATTAACTATATTATTTTTTTGTAATTTAATTTTTTGAAAAGTTTGGTTCAAATAATCATCAAAAAGAGTTATATTTTAATTAACTTAAATATATTTTATAATAATTATTGTTTTTTTTTAATATTAAGATAAGTATTTGTAATTTAGAATTTTATTAATAGTATATTTTTGTTTCTGTCTTCAGACTTCCAATTTAGATAGTTTAGTAGAATTATAACCAGTTTATTGATATATTAGATTAGCTTAATATTCTTTTTTTCTTAACTTTTTAGTTAGAATTTTGGTAGCCTAGTTACTCAAAGGTTCTTGTCTATTTAATTTTTTTATATAAGTATCTTTTCTTAGTTTTAGTCTTTATAATTGTACTGTCAAAGTTTCATATTACTTTTTTGCTTAGGTCTTTTCAAATAAGTTTCTTATTTTTTAGTTTTTACAGATTTATACAGTTACAAAAACTTAGTTTGAATTTATATTGTCTAATACTAGTTTGTATTTCTTTGTATAATTAGTTATACAGATGCATTATTTGTTAGTTATATTGATACAACTATAATTACAGATATCTTAACCCAATTATCAAAAACAGTTGGCATACATCAGCAGAATAAATATGCAAAATATTGCGAAAGATTTTGCATACCGAAAATCTTTCGAAATAACTGCGATTGACACGAAATTATTTCGAAATAAAA